TATTTTAGAGCTTGCAAACCCCTGTCTCACTCCAAATCCTCCCCAAATGGATATCAGGGCACAGAGCAGTCACGAATGCCCAGATGATCCACAGGGATCCCTCCCATCCCAATGAGGGCCAGGCTGCCTCACTGCTCCCAGCCCAGGGAGCTGCAGCTGGGATGAGAAAGGGGAGCGTTTCCCAATTTAGCAGGTGGAGGTCGTTGCACAGGTGGTCCTGGAGCCTTGGAATGCAGGGAAATCGGGAAGAAGACCAGAGCGTGGCCCAAACAGTGGGAAATGTCACCTTCAGCAGTACGGTTGTGAGACAGGGACATAAACCCTCATGATGTGGGGYTCGGAGTGGCCAGCACGGATCAGGGATCGGGGCACGGGGTGGATCAGAACAAACCCCTGGGCTGTCCGGGCCCTTCCATGGGAGCGGGCCCGGAGCGTCGCCCTGCTCTCCGGGATCGCCTCGTCCTGGCGTCGGGCTCCGGGGCCGCGGGTGGCGCCCCGGGAGCAGGATCCCGGATCCGTCGGCACCGCCCGCAAGCGGAGCCTCCAGCTCCCGGCAAAAAGGCACCTCAAATTGCGCCTCAAACCCAAGAGCACCGACCCCTTTTGCTAACGCAAATCTAAATGCCATTTTACGGGACACATATAATTATGAAAATGGGCCAGAGCTGCCTGATGCACAAGGAGACCCTGCGAGTATGAATATTGCATTAATGTGCCCAACGCCAGCTCGCCGATCCCGCTGGCACAAGCATAAAAAATGCTTGAGTGAAACTTTTATTTAGCCGTTAAGATTCCCGGCCCAGCGGGGGGATGGAGGCAGCCCCGGCGAGATCCCATCAGCGCGAGCGCTCCGATTGAATTACCCAGGGGGGAAGGCAGGAGCTGCGAGTGCTGCTTCGCTTGTTTAATTTCATTTACTTCCAGTACATTACCAGCATGGGGCTTCCCTCGGCCCCGGAAAGCGGCGCCGTTCCCGCTCCCCGCGCTCCGGGTTCTTGCATCCCTGCTCTCCCGCCCCTCCTGCGGCAGCGGAGACACCGGCTCCGAACCCCAGCGCTGCCGGCTGCACAGCCCGCTCCCACTCCATGCCCGCCCTTCCCGATGCGGGAACGGGAGCGAAAGGGTGCTGGGAATGCGAGCAAGACGGCACTGGGAATGGAGCAAGAGGCAGTTAGGGAGGGCGGGCTGGTGCAGGGCGGCTCTGGCCACTGTACGTTGGCCGCACGCGGCGCAGGGGTGACGGCCACAGGACTGCGCTCCGGTCTCGCAGGTCAGGGGTTATTTGCTTGGATGGCCCCGGTCGGAGGCCGGAGGCGCCCGCCCCGAGGCCACACGGGAGCTGCCCGCGGCTCCGGGCGCTCCGGGCCATGGGAAAGGCGGCTCCTCCCCGCTCATCTGGCGCAGCCACTAGCGGCCGCTTGGAAAAACAGAGCGGTGCCGTCGGGGCATCCGGGAAAACAGAGCGGTGCCGTTGGGGTGTCCGGGAAAGACCATGGCACGGCCCTCCCTGCACACCGAGATGGAGCCGGAACCCTGGAAAATAAAACCCTCCGACTTTACTGGGGGTGGGATTTGGATTTTAATTCTGTCTGGAAAATGTAACTGCAAGTTGGAAGTGCAACCGAGTTTTGCCAAAGAGGGGAAAAAAGAAAAAAAAAAGAAAAAGTGAAACTCAAGGAGGAGGCAGAGCCTTTGGCCCCAAAGTTTCCTTCCAAATCACTAAGCCTCTAATTGCAAAATAAAAAACACTAAATCTCAATATCTCTTTGCACAGCTCATTAGCTAAGGGCTCACACTCAGCAGAGAGGGAGGGAGAAAAACCCTCCAGCACCAAGAGCATTTGGGAGGTTGCCATGGAAACGGGCCCTTCCGAGGGCTCCCGATGCGACCCGCACACCCGCGCTCCGGAGCGCCCGGCCGCTCACGCCTTCGCCGCCATCCCGCCATTCAGGCCCTTYTCTGTCCTTTTTTTTCCCCTTAAAAAACAAAGCATAATGCATTAAATATAAATATATAAATATATAATCTGTGTAGCTGATTCCCCTGTTATTTCTCTCCCGCAACCATAACATTATGTCAGACATTCGACCTGCTGTGCTACCGGGACAACATGATTTACAGCGCGAAAAGGGAAAGCCTAAATCATCGCGTAATGAAAACATTAAAGCTAATGCATCACGAGTGAGGAATTTATTACCATTAGCTCCAACGAGCAGTTACAAAGCGCCCGTCCTTTCGTGTCGGCGCACGGGGACGCGGCGCGGGGCCCCATCAGCCCGACTTGCCGCGCTCTCCGCCAGAGCGCCCATGGGTGCCCCAGCCGGACACTGCTCCTTGCTAAGCGGACGGGCTCGTTTGCGGCGCGGGGCTGCTCTGAAGGCTCCATCCATCCATCCATCCATCCATCCATCCATCCATCCCGGCGCGCGCGCACGGAGCAGGGCAGGTCACGGCACGGGGGCTCCGGGGGTTTATTTAAGCACCGCTGAAATATCTGCTCGACAAAAGGCAACGTTCGCCCCGGTCCCGGCCCCGCCGCCGCGGCTCGCGGCGCTGATGTCTAAATAAGCACCTATGGGCGCCCTGCGCCGCGTGGCCGAGGATTCGCTTCCCACCGGCTCTCCCTGCGCACGGCAATGGCCGGGCCCGAGCCCCTCGTGGYACCCACAGAGGGTCCCCGAAGGCGACGTGACGTTGACACCAGGCAAGGGTGTCGAGGCGACCGCCCCGGCCCAGGCGCCGTCCCCAGGCTCGGCCCTGCATTCCTAGCCAGACTCGACGCCGCCTAATCCTCAGCCTTGACACAAGCCATCCCGTAGATCATCGTGGAAAATCACGAGGGTTTGAGGAGAGAGGAGGGTTAGGAAAGAAGGGACACAAGCGACAGGCGATTTTGCAAGGGGAAGCACGGCGATACGAGGACAGATCGGTGCGCGCTGCCCCGCGCGGCAGCGGCTCCGTGCTCTTCCCTCTGCCCCGGCTGCTCTCCCGACCTCCACGGCTGGAGCGGCTTTGATTGCTCCCTGCCCAGGGATCTGGGAGTGCAGGGAAGAGCTGAGGAATGCCCGTGTCCGGCCTCGCCTCCGCGCCGCCCACGGGGTGGCACAGAGCAGCTTTTCCCCTCCGCAGAGCCGAGCAGCAGGAGCCGGGTGCGAAGGCTGCAGATATTCCCTGACCTCCCCGCGGGTTTTTGGTGGTGGTTTCTCCGCTGTAACTGCAGCACCAGGGCTCACGCGGGGCCGGCTCGCACAGGAGGCTGCAATTTGGGTGTAAAATGAAGGGTGGGGAGGCAGGAAGGGTCCCCTATCCCACTATCCCGCTATCCCGCCCCGCATCCCGCTCGCTCCCGGATGGCCGCAAAGCCAYCCCAGCGAAACGCAAGGAAGCGCCGTAAGGAAGTGGCTGGGAGCAGGGCGATGGACAAGAGCCTTGCACAGGCTCCATAGGGCCTCCATAGACTCTCCATAGGGATCATAGCCCGGGCCAGGCCGCGCTCCTCCGCGCTTCCTCCGGGATTTGGAGCTCGGCACCGTCCCCGGGCACCACAGGCGGAGAGGCCCTGCGGGCACCGTCTTCCAAGAGGCTGCCCGGAGCCGGATTCGGAATTGAGCCCATTCCCTGAAGGCACCACGGATTCCCGTCAGTCCGGTACTCTCAGGCCGGCGCTGGCACGGTTTAAAGGTCGGGTTTAGTGCTGGAAATTGCCGGGTCACCGGGCAGCGATAAGGAAGGGTCTCGTGGGGCTCCGCGCGGGACGCAGCCGCCCTTCCCGGATCCATTAAACTCCCTGGATTCTCCCGCTTCCCTTTGATCTAGGCACCCTCCTATTTTTGCTCCTTGCTTCCTACTTGTGAGTAATGGCTAAAAAAGTAAAATCAACAGGTCGTAAAATGATAAAAGCCCGTGCTCTGGTAAATGCCCCCCTTGGGCTCACTTCTGCCCTCGTTTTACACTGATAAAATGCCCCGGCCTTCCCCAGAGCCCTCTTGATTTACATCACGTACCTTGGCTCCCGAAGAAACGTGGATTTTCCGATATCAACACGACATGAATCCAGACACACCCAGCCCAGCGCTGCTCGGGCCATAAATCAGGGCCAGCGCCGGGAAGAGCTTCTATCCGAGTAACAGAGCCTCAACCGCACACCCTGCTACGGCAAGAGCAACGCAGCCTCCTCAATGCAGATAGTTATATCCAAATAAAGGTGCTTTATGTCAGTATAAATTATCCGCTTCCCATTTAGGGATGCCTTGCCGCAAAATGAATGTGCGAGAGCGGCTGCCAATCTGCTCTAGTGGCAGTGTTTAGGGAAGAGGAACCCAACGGGMGGCACATCCCAAAGGGAGCGAGCGGCTCCGGCAGGGCCCGGCCGGCTCCTCTCCGGGCTCCGGCTGCCGCCCTGGCACTGTCCCTGTGCCGTGGAGCTGTCCGTGCCCGTGCAGCCGCCGGCAGCTCTGTCCTCCCTTTCCCTTGTTTTCCCCAAGCTGCTGCTCTTCCCGGGAGCTCCGGCCGGCCCGGGCGGGATGGGTTTAAGCCCGCGCTTAAGCCCAGGTTGGTTCCCGAACACATGGGACGCGGCCGGTGCTG